TCCTTATTTTCTTGGTGGAAGTGGAAGTTGGGGAGGGGTAAATCAAAGAGTCTAGCAAACGGCATCAAACATTCATTATTTTTTAATTTATGAAGACGATGCTTAGAAATTCCAAAAAGACTTTTTAAGTTACTAAATTTGTTTGGAAATACCTGCTGGTTCATGTTCCCTCTTCTAGATCACATAATACTAAATTAAATATATGACGTCTTTTTTATACCATTTGGACGCAAATAAGTTTTAAAATGACATGTTTTAAATAACTATACAATATCTATAGCCCTTTTCTACAAACATTGTTTTTCTCATTTTTTGTAACTTTTGTTTGTAAATTTTGGGAAAACCTACTCATTTTTTAAATTAAATCCAAAATGATAATTATTGTAATGACACACTAATAGATTTTGCAATAGAAATTGCAATTTAGTACTCTATGCGGTCCGCGCTCGCATAGAGTGCTAAATTGCAACTTTGTGCTACCGTTGCTTACATGACCTGTCGCCGTCCTACCTCAAAGCACTCATGACGCCTTATGTACCCACAAGACAGCTCTGCTCATCCGATAGTGGCAAACTATCGATAACGCGTGATCGCCTTGAGACTTACGGAAAGCGCACTTTCGCATTTGCTGGCCCAACAATTTGGAACGCCCTTCCTGTCGCTCTCAGAAACAGCCAGATACTGGAGTCCTTTAAAACCGATTTAAAAACACATCTATTTCGCAAAAACCTTCTGGGGTAATGCTATCTTTTTCCAGTTTATGTATATTGGCTTGTGTTGCTTATGGTTGAAATGGGATGAAAGACTTTGACTTGGTTTGTGCTCGTAAGTAGTTTTATGTTGTTGCGTCTGTTTTTAAATGGGGTAACTTTTAGATTGTTGTATATGGTTGACTTTGTACCGCGCTTCGAGCTTTTGGGATTGAAGCGTGTTTTTCAAATAAACTTTATTATTATTATTACACAAAGAAATTTTCGTCCGATAATTAAACTTCATATCCAGTCGGGGCCTTATCAATATGTGTCAAAAAATGCACGCAACCTTGGCTTAGAAAGGTTACTTCAGCTATACGTGAATATGATCGGAACTATGTCCTTTCGTGAGTGAATTGAACCCAACATAAAAAAACCCAGACACGAGAAAGGGATAACTCATGAGTCATGGGAGAGTTATCCACCTACACATTAACACATACGTCTTTTCCCCACAGTTTCAACCTACTTCCTCAGCACTTATTACATCTTCCAAAACTTTTGAAAGTACAAAATAATAATTTTTTTAAACACCGCTTTGTAACTAAAAATGTATTAAAAAGGTTCCCAAAAACTTCAGAGTCCTTACGGTGTAGGATTTCTTTTAATAAGAGAAGAAAAGGGCTGGACACTACCCAATGAATTTTAAAGGGAAATAACTTTTAAAACATATTTTGTTGACGTATGTTTAAAAAATTGGATATAATTTTAAATGTATGACAAATTCATTTTACTTTTTAATTATTTTTGTTTTGTTAAGACTTGTTATTCACAGTCGGCTAGATTATTTTTTGCTGGCATTGTTTTTTTGTTTTATGTGAGAATTTTAAAAGTTAATGAAAAAAGCTTTTACTAGTAACAAATAAATATTGATATAGTTACAAGTTTGGCCCGTTTCACAATTAGTTGATTAATGTGTCGGATTAAATCATGATAAGGAAAATATTTATTTTGTGACTATGTTCTCATCTTCCCATATTCAAGTCTTTGACTTGTTACGTAAATAAGCTGTGGCCAACTGCGAGAACTGGTGTGACCACACGATTTCGAACCATGCAAGATTTAATCCATTTAAAATTTGGAACAAATATTTTTTGGTAAATTTCAGCCACTCATAGTTGTCACTATCTGTAAATATCTGCTAGTCCCCCCCCCTCCCCCACCCACACCCATTCTCTTTTCCCTCTTGAGCACACTGCGTAAAACAATCAAGAAAATAGGAAATTAAGGGACGTCCATTAAAATTCGTTGACAATTTTTAAGCAAATTTTGACACCCGCCCCCCCCCCTCTTTCCTTGTTCTCTTTTCCCACTTGAGCACACTGCGTAAAACAAGCAAGAAAATAGGAAATTAAGGGACGTCCATTAAAATTCGTTGACAATTTTTAAGCAAATTTTGACACCCGCCCCCCCCCCTCTTTCCTTGTCAGCAACTGTCAAACTTTCAATGACCCCCCTAAGTAGTTATGTCAAAATTTTTAACCCCTCCCCCCACACACACACAAATGAATTATAATAAATCTATATATAGGCCCTATGCATTTTGCTTTGTGCTGATCTATTTAAATGACACAAAATTGTAGGAAAAACATTTTATTGCATCTTTAGCTTGTTCATCAAGAAGTTAAAAAGTTTTTACTCTTCAAATGTGTAATGCAGAATCAATGAAAATGTTGTTAAAGACTAAATATCATTGTTTGTGGAAGTAGAAATAGGTTAATTGTAATCATAGCTGACAATTGTAGTATAGTTTCTGGCTGTTACCATCTTCCCACGGACTCTGGCTGTGACCATCTTCCCATGGACTCTGGCTGTTACCAGATTCCCATGGACTCTGGCAGTTACCATCTTCCCATGTACGCTGGCTGTTACCATCTTCCCATGGACTCTGGCTGTTAACATCTTTCCACGGACTCTGGCTGTGACCATCTTCCCACGGACTCTGGCTATTACCACCTTCTCATGGACTTGGACTAACCAGGTGTTGCTCTATCGTAACAATGGGCATAGTAGCTGATTTATCATTTTCATATTGCGGAACTGATATACCAGACAAGTCAACATCATCCTCATCTAACCATTCAGCACTTAAAATAGAAGCATTGTCAGTGTGAGCAATAACTGCCATAAGCTCTCTCAGTCTCCTGGCAGCTACTTGCATTAGTTGAATCCTTTTTTTGTTGAGGAGCAGGTGGTAATTTCTTATGCATTGTCGGTGATGTTGAATATGCTATTTCAACATGACTGTGATTGCAAAATATTTGTTACAGATTTTGCAAATCCGTTAAAGCAGCGATGTTATTATTGTTACTAACTTTATTATCATTTATCTTGAATGCAAATGTTACTAACTTTATTATTATTTATCTTGACTGCGCATGACACTTGAACCTTGTCCTTGTTCCACACCTGCAACATGATAGCAAACATACCTCTCTAGATCTTTGTGACAAACAGATTTTACAGGAGACGAGAGGCCAAATTTTGACTTCATTTGCAGTAATAAAGTGTGCTAACATTCTGACCAGCCATCTTCAGTGCACAGACAGACGCACATTTTAAAAAATGTATTGTTAAAAGCCAAAAAATTACATAACTATTTTAATCTACACTCATTAAATTTGTTAAATAATGTAATAACCAGTCGATTTTTAAGATGAAAATTTAAACGGAGAAAAAATTATTGTTGACGTCAATTAATCTAAACCCTACCCCTCCCGCTTGTCAACAATTGTCAAACATTTCCACCCCCACTACTTTGTTGCCATAATCAATTGTATGCCACTCATGATAATATATAGAAACATTGTCTTCTTTCTATAATTAAAAATTTTAAATAGAGCAGTAGATACTTCTTTCACCCATACACATTTATAAATATAGTTAAAGTTGAACCAATGAAATTTTTCTTATACTCAATAAATTTATTATATTGCAACACACCGATTTTAGGCTAAACCCAGTGGTACAACTAGGGTACGTAAGGCACAGCTGGGTTAAGTGCAGCATATCTAAGGTAAATGCCGCATAGCTAGGATAAGTGCCGCATAGCTGGGATAAAAGCCGCATAGCTGGGGTAAGTGCCGCACGGCTCTGTTAAGTGTTGCATAGCTAGGGTAAGCGCCGCATAGCTGGGATAAAAGCCGCATAGCTGGGGTAAGTGCCGCACGGCTCTGTTAAGTGTTGCATAGCTAGGTTAAGTGCCGCATAGCGTGGGTAAATGCCGCATAGTTATGGTATGTACCGCATAGCTGGGTTAAGTGCCGCATAGATGGGTTAGGTGTCGCATAGCTGGGTTAAGTGTCGCATAGCTGGGTTAAGTGTCGCATAGCTGGGTTAAGTGTCGCATAGCTGGGTTAAGTGTCGCATAGCTGGGTTAAGTGTCGCATAGCTGTGGTAAGTGTCGCATAGCTGGGTAAGTGCCGCATAGCTGGGTAAGTGCCGCATAGCTGGGTTAAGTGACACATAGCTGGGTTAAGTGCCGCATAGCTATGTAAGTGTGGCATAGCTATGTAAGTGTCGCATAGCTGGGTAAGTGCCGCATAGCTGGGTAAGTGCCGCATAGCTGGGTAAGTGCCGCATAGCTGGGTAAGTGCCGCATAGCTGGGTAAGTGCCGCATAGCTGGGTAAGTGCCGCATAGCTGGGTAAGTGCCGCATAGCTGGGTTAAGTGCCGCATAGCTGGCTAAGTGCCGAGGAGTCCCCTGTATTTCATGGTAATTGACTGGTCAAAGGACGAGACTTCCCATGTATTTCATGTTAATTGACTGGTCAAAGGTCGAGACTTCCCCTGTATTTCATGTTAATTGACTGGTCAAAGGTCGAGACTTCCCCTGTATTACATGTTATTTGACTGGTCAAAGGTCGAGACTTCCCCTGTATTACATGTTATTTGACTGGTCAAAGGTCGAGACTTCCCCTGTATTACATGGTAATTGACTGGTCAAAGGTCGAGACTTCCCCTGTATTTCATGTTAATTGACTGGTCAAAGGTCGAGACTTCCATGCTGTACATGTTAAAATCTGTTGGCAATAAAACAAGGTACTGAACATTTAAGAAACCTCTTGATGTTTATTTGAACACGGAACTCCCATTAATTCTTAATAGACAAATTTTTGTTCATTAGATCACTGAATTCCCATAAAAGCTTTTAGATTAATAAAAAATACTTCCGTTGGGTAGAATTTGCACACTGCTCCCACATACAAGGTATATATAATGTAAGCAAATATCTTCTTAAAACAAATAATTTTCTTAAATAATTAAATGATAAGTTTGTTATCGAAACTATTAAGTCCAAAAGTTGGTTTTTTTGTTAAATGAAAAGAACCATTTCAATTTCATGACTTCATCAAAGATCAAACTGGTGATTGTGTAAAAAACAACAACTATTTTTATTTCACAGAACAAATTTAAGAAAACAACAAATTCAATTTGCATAGGTCGGCATGAAACCACAACGTACATCACATGCTTGAACATTAGCTATTCTATCACACACTAGGACATTAGCTCTTCTATCACATAATAGGACTTTGGCTCTTCTATCACGTACTAGGACATTTGCTCTTCTATCACATTCTAGGACATTAGCTCTTCTATCACGTACAAGGACATTTGCTCTTCTATCAATACTAGGACATTAGCTCTTCTATCACACACTAGGACATTTGCTCTTCTATCAATACTAAGACATTAGCTCTTCTATCACACACTAGGACATTAGCTCTTCTATCACATACCAGGACATTTGCTCTTCTATCAATACTAGGACATTAGCTCTTCTATCACGCACTAGGACATTAGCTCTTCTATCACACACTAGGACATTAGCTCTTATATCATGTACTAGGACATTAGCTGTTCTATCACATACTAGGACATTAGCTCTTCTATCACATACTAGGACATTAGCTCTTTTATCACAAACTAGGACATTAGCTCTCTTATCACACACTAGGACATTAGCTCTTCTATCTTCTTCTCCACACCAACAAAGAGCACTGCAACAATAGTCGCATAACTTCACAAGTTTATTTGTGCACACTGGCTAGTTCCAATCGTAATATTTCATATTTAAACCTCTCTTAGGGTTGCACTAAAGATTTGCCTGTTAATTGATACTTTGTTATTTGGTAACCTAATTTATTATCATTATATTTTAACTGATTGATCAGTTTTGATAATTGACCAAGTGTGACACAGAAATGTTGAGAAATTGGACGCAAAAAGACATAAAATATTTTGTTTAAACTTTCTTTACATCTTTGTTAATAATAGATCTTGATATTTTAACTGTATAAAACAAAAGTAAATTTAATCATTAAGTCTTCACTTATTTTTAAAATCAATGCTTCCATTCTCAACATAAAGCCTATTTCATCAAGCTCACAGATCTTTTGTTATAAAAAAATCTGTGACAGATAAATCAGTTATTGACCAAGTAGCCTATCAGTTCAACCGTACTGTGAATGCTAACTTCTTTAAAGCTGTTTTTGTAATGCTAAAAGCAAAAGCCAGCATCAAGAAATTTTAACCCAATTTTCTTATTAAATAAAAATTGTCGTCCCCCCCCCCCGACACACACCAAAACGATGCAAAATTAGCAGTTTACCTTATTCAATAAATGTTATAAAAATTTTATTTGTAGCCACCAAAATAAAATTTATGATGTCTGATGTAATTTATTTGTTAAATTTATGTCCCACTAGAAATAGATAACATTGTTATTAACAACCAACAAAAGTTGTGTCATTAGATCTGTTACTATCCCCATATCACAAATCCTAACATAAAAATTACATATAAAAGGTTATTCTCAAATCACTTTTGCTTCTTTCATTATCTAATGGATCATGCAACAGCAAACAAATTCTTGGTTAATTCATTACAATACTTGTCAATATTTTACTTATTTTATTCAACTTCAAACATGACATTTGGAACATCCTCCTAATTAAATTTACTCTTCTATCACGTCACCCCACATATTTGTCCTTTTCCCTGTAAAGAAAGGAAAAAACTTAATTTAGAACATGTCTATATTATTAATAGAATAGAATGATTTTCAATTAGTAGGATAAGCATGGCCAATTTTCAATTAGTAGGATAAGCATGGCCAATTTTCAATTAGTAGGATAAGCATGGCCAATTTTCAATTAGTAGGATAAGCATGGCCAATTTTCAATTAGTAGGATAAGCATGACCAATTTTCAATTAGTAGGATAAGCATGGCCAATTTTCAATTAGTAGGATAAGCATGGCCAATTTTCAATTAGTAGGATAAGCATGGCCAATTTTCAATTAGTAGGATAAGCATGGCCAATTTTCAATTAGTAGGATAAGCATGGCCAATTTTCAATTAGTAGGATAAGCATGGCCAATTTTCAATTAGTAGGATAAGCATGGCCAATTTTCAATTAGTAGGATAAGCATGGCCAATTTTCAATTAGTAGGATAAGCATGGCCAATTTTTCTCCCATACACTGAAAGCAACTAGGTAAACCATTCCAGAGAGCATAATAATATTATCTGACTCCTCCGAATGCTTGATTGGTAGTTTCATTGAAAATAATTTGTTACAAGTCTTAGCGAACGCGCCTTCATAAGGGAAATAATACATATTAAATTATGGTTAATGAATTTAGGCATATTGTTTCCCTTTAATTACAACTTTCAACTATTTTTAATGTGCCTTGATGTCAATGTTTAACTTCATTTGTGTTGGTGATGTTTATGTATAACTTAATCTATGTTGGTGATGTTTATGTATAACTTAATCTATGTTTGTGATGTTTATGTATAACTTAATCTATGTTGGTGATGTTTATGTATAACTTAATCTATGTTGGTGATGTTTATGTACAACTTAATCTATGTTGGTGATGTTTATGTATAACTTAATCTATGTTGGTGATGTTAATGCTTAGCTAAGTGTTGGTTATATTAATGTTTAACTAAATGTATGTGAGTATTATGAATAAGAAAGAGATAGAATATCCATTGTCAAATAAATATAATTTGTCAAATTTTATTTTTTTAGTTAATAAAAACCTTTATTTCCACCTATTTGTCCTGATTCAACATATGTGCACCTGTTAACTCGAGCTTGGTTTCAATTTCATTGATCTTTCAAAGAAGTAACAATTTTGTCCCCATAATCCTGTATTCAAACATTTTATTTTAGACTTAAAGTACTCACTCTTTGGTGGGGCTTGCACAGGCGGAGCATCTGAATCAGATTTCGTTTGGTCATTGGCTTCAGGCCATGGGTTCTGTGGCATAAAGGGGCTTTCTTTGTATGGCGGGGTACTTGACCCGGGTTGCTTTTCCTGACGTTTTGAAAGACTCTCTTCATATTCTAGCCTGTTTCTCCGTCTAAGCTCATCGTAGGTGCTGATACTTTTTTCCTGCTGTGGAGTTGCTGGCTGCTTGACTTTAGAAAAGTACACATCAGACAAAATTATCATCCATTTCTTACTGCAATTTATTCTAATATTAAATGTATTGCAGGTAAAGTTTAAAAAGGCACCGGTTGTTTTTTTTAAAACAATCAAACAGATAATGTCCTCACATAAATATTTATTTTTAACAAAATAAAATAAAATATTGAAACATTTCCTAAGATACCAATATTTTTCACTCCAAGAGTTAGAATAACTTATTGAAATTAAGCAAACGGATAAGAACTGGTGTGCTTTTTATTTTCTTAAATTTTAAATAGATGAATATGATAAAAATGTAACATCCGTAATTAACATACCATCCCAGTCCACAATTGGATTAACATACTATCCCAGTTCATACTTGGATTAACATACCATCCCTGTCCATACTTGGATTAACATATCATCCCTTTCCATACTTGAAATAACATTCCATCCCTGTCCATACTTGGATTAACATACCATCCCTGTCCATACTTGGATTAACATACCATCCCTGTCCATACATATGTAAACATACCATCCCTGTCCATACTTGGTCTAAATCTGTCATCAATACCCTCTGTAGGTCTGTATTCATTATTGCTGGAAGATTTGTTACTGCCGGTGGCACTTTCTTCCCATGCAGGGACTCTGAATGAAAACACAACGGCCAATAAACTAGAGGACTCTGAATGAATACATAACAGCCCATAAACTAGAGGACTCTGAATGAAAACACAACAGCCCATAAACTAGAGGACTCTGAATGAAAACACAACAGCCAATAAACTAGAGGACTCTGAATGAAAAAACAACAGCCAATAAACTAGAGGACTCTGAATGAAAACACAACAGCCTATGAACTAGAGGACTCAAACAACTTCCTGAATGACAACATCCTAGGGGCTGTAACATTATTACAGACATCGAACATCTCATTCCACAGTATAAAACTATTCACTACGCAGACCACAAAAGGTTTATTTTGATTTCCAAAACCTGTTACTGTATCTTTTATTTAATAAGGAAATGAGATATTTGGTTTTAGGATGGTCAAGATGGCCAGTGTGATCAAATACTAACAACCACAACAAGTTTAACAAAATAAAAAAATTACAAGAATATTTCAAATCTTAAATTGTACACATGTCCAACTGGTGTAGCAATATTTTGCAACAATGGGCACCAAGAACATTATTTTGAAAAGTACAAGGACAATGTATGTGACCGCAGACCAATTATTTCCATTTAATATGCTTTGAGCCAGAGCTTTACAACCTTTTTTCTTTGGCCTTTCTGAGAATTCAATGGCACACCACAAGCAAAAAGGCATGCAGAAAATATTGGAATATGAATTCATGCAAGCCTGTAGAACTTTTTTGCTTAGTAACGGTGCTTATGTTTCACATGCAAAGATGACCATGGTTATATTCAACAGTGAGTGCACAGACGGCTTGCCAGTCCTATGTGTGCCTAGAAAGCTTGCCCCGCATGCGGGACACACGCGTTTCGGGTCCTGGAGGGATTGAAGGCCATTCTCTTTTTCCTTCCTATTCACTGTCTTTGGGCGTAAGTTTTGAATTTACTCTCTGATAGTGCTCCAACAGTGAGTCTTCCTTGCCAGTTTGTGCAGTCCATAGCAAGTGTTTCCCAAAATTTGATGGCCATGTCCAAGGACATGAGGGACACGTTATGTTTAAGACAATCTTTAAAAATATTATAATATAGTTAATATTCATAATGTTAAACTCTATCAGAGTAACCTGTATTCTTCCATTATTAACTATCCATGTTGGACTAATTTCTGTTGCAGCAGAATATGACAGCTTGGTGATGAGCTGACCAATGTCTATATTGTATCAACAGTTTTATAAATTTTTACGTTCCTACATTTATTATCTGCTTTTCCTCCTTTGGAGTCGTTTAGCACACCACACCTAGCACCACACTTCAGCACACTGGTTGCACAGTACACGTAGCACCACACTTCAGCACACTGGTTGCACAGTACACCTAGCACCACACTTCAGCACACTGGTTGCACAGTACACCTAGCACCACACTTCAGCACACTGGTTGCACAGTACACCTAGCACCACACACTGGCACACTTATTACACAGCACACTTAGGACCACACCAGCACACTGGTTGCGCAACACACCTAGCGCCACACCCCAACACAGCTAGCATCATAACCCGGCACACTGGTTGCCCAACACACCTAGCATCATAACCCGGCACACTGGTTGCCCAACACACCTAGCATCATAACCAGGCACACTGGTTGCCCAGCATTGCCATGAACTGTGATTTGTCTGACCATATTGTGCAGATAAAGGGAGACCAGAAGGAATTCTAAAGAAACCCTTGCACAGTTTGGGAAAGAGTTTTTGGTTTAATTTCAACACTAAGTTAGACAACTCAAGGCTTGAAGCATTTTGCCCTTGTTTTCTTGCCTTCTGCCAAGCAGGAATGGTAAATACTTTCTACTTGGTTATTTGAACATAGCTGGCCGCAGCCTGTTATATAGATTTACATTTTCGAATTGTAGATGATGGGTGTATTAAAAGTAACATTATGGTTGACAGATATGATGATCAAGTAAAAATGTTATGGAAGAACTATAACATAAGATTAACTCGTTTTATTTATGCTATGCTCAACATCAGTTCATAAAGTGCATTCCACTAGACTCTGTAAAGTGCATTCCACTAGACTCTGTAAAGTGCACTCCACTAGACTCTGCAAAGTGCACTCCACTAGACTCTGTAAAGTGCATTCCACTAGACTCTGTAAAGTGCATTCCACTAGACTCTGTAAAGTGCATTCCACTAGACTCTATAAAGTGCATTCCACTAGACTCTGTAAAGTGCATTCAACTAGACTCTGTAAAGTATATTCCACTAGATCAGCGGTTCTCAACCAGTGGGTCGGGACACCTTTGGGGGTCGAACTACCCTTATACAGCTCGCCTTATACCATCGTAAAAACACATATTTATGAGGTAGCAACGAAAATATTTTTATGGTTGGGGGTCATCATAACATGAACAATTGTAATAAAGTGTCATGGCATTAAGAAGGTTAAGTACCCCTGCACGAGACTCTTTGTAATTTGCGTTCCACTAGACTCTCTGCATCAGGACTCGAGTTATTCAACTTATTGTGGACTAATGTACGCTGGTTCCATATATATTTCTCACGCCCTCTCTCCGTTTCTAACCTAATCAGTAATTTGATGGTTACCACCATTATTACTCCTATATCAACCATTCGGCTGTAATGATAAGTTGATACTATCAACCATTCGGCTGTAATGATAAGTTGATACTATCAACCATTCGGCTGGTATGATAAGTTGATACTATCAACCGTTCGGCTGTAATGATAAGTTGATACTATCAACCATTCGGCTGTAATGATAAGTTGATACTATCAACCATTCGGCTGGAGCGATAAGTTCCAGGGCTAACAGTACATCAATTCCCAATCCTCTTTAACCTAAATATAACTTAGAGTCCTTGACCCTGACACAGCCCTGAACACATTTATAAAAATGCTGCATACTTATTTGACACATGGCAAAGACTGTTAAACTTGGCTATCAAACCGTACAGTAGAAAAAAGGATGTTCATTTTAAAAAATCTAAAAAGACGTTAATAATATCTATTCCTTTCTAAAACTTACTGTGCCTCTGGATTAGGGAGTCCTTTGGATTTCCTAATCGTTGCCGCCAAGTTCGAATTAGGTATCTTTTCAAGAATTTTCTGCTGGCATTTTGGAAGGTAGCTTAACTTGCCAAAGAAATAAGAAATACTCCCAGCAACTGTGACAAAAATTGTGACAGACACAATTATGGCACAGAAATAAGCAGTACTTCCAGAAATGGTTAAAAAATGATGGATTGTGACAGACACAATTATGACACAGAAATAAGCAGTACTTCCAGAAATGGTTAAAAAATGATGGATTGTGACAGACACAATGATGACACAAAAATAAGCAGTACTTCCAGAAATGGTTAAAAAATGATGGATTGTGACAGACACAATTATGAAACAACCAATATAATAAAAGCTAAAATGTGTACAATATATATATTTTACATTTTTCTATAATTGACTGGCTATTCTGATGAGTGCAAGCTGCTATATTGTAATTGGAAGAAGTCCTATTTGACTTTGAAAACAAAAATCAGAGTGATAATAATTAACACATAGAAGTGCAAAAATATTAATTTGAAATAAAATTGTATCAACACGACATAAAAACATCCCTTGTAAAATTTTACACATAAATATTATTTGCTTACAAAACCTCATCACATTTAGAGGAACTGAAATTGTTCAATGAAAAGTGACATGACCAAAAGAGTCTGGCTACTTTATTGCTTGTCATTTTCAAGGCAAAAAAACATTTAGAGTGATAGCACATTCAAACTCTTTTAGGACAAATTACAAATGAACCAACTCACTTAACATTTTAGGTAATGCTCCAAATCTGGGATGAGGAGTCCAATGGCCTAGATAAGAAACAGGAGTTGCAACAAAGGGTTTATGCAAAAAAATTAATGTATCTTTTTTTCTGCTTTTTTTTTTTACATTTACTAATGAAAAAAATTTTTAACAAAAAGGAATGCCCTTTTATACAAATGTATAAGAACAAAAAGAATTTCACTTTTTCAAATAAATATTTTTAATTTTATATCCGTGCGATATCAACAAATAATATTATTTATTTTTAATCATTTCAAAGCCTATGACTCCTCTTTGGCCCTTAAAAGTCTCCTTAATTGCAAGGCAGTTAATTTTAACATTCACTGTGTAAAATACATTTTAAATTATTCAAGATATGTTCAGAGAAGGTAATTAACTGTTTCACTGAAATAACTGAGTACATATCTTAGAGATTATTTTTAGACTAGATAAAAAATCTACATGGCTGAGAGTTTATTTATAGACTAGATAAAAAAAATATCTGTTTCAAACATACCATTTTTCACCATGAAAAAAGCACCAGTCATGGTTCCAATAGATATGGGTAAAGCTGAGAATTAGAGGAATGTAAATTTTAACCCAATACTGTAACTGTTAAATTTACACAATTACATAATTAAATTAATTAATCTCAAGATAATTAGAAAAAAAAATGGAAATAACGACAGAAAACTGGTAGTTTAAATACAATACAAATAGATTTAACAAGAAGACTTTTATCAAGATTGGATATTTTCAAATACCTAGGAGCTACTATAAATGAGCTCTATGAAATAATGATTGAGATGAAAGAAAGGAAAACAGCAGGCAACCATTCATATTTCAGCCCACAAAAGCTGCTATCAAGCTAAAACCACTCAAGGAGAACAAAGAAAGGAATATACAGCATACACCACTACTTTATTACCAGTAGTAACTAAGAAAAAAAAGAAGGGAAAAGTATGCACCACTACTTTATGACCAGTAGTAGCTAGGTGAACAAAGAAGGGAACAGTATATACCACTACTTTATGACCAATCGTAACTAGGAGAACAAAGAAGGCCACATTACAGTATACACCACTACTTTAAGACCAGTAGTAACTAGGAGAACAAAGAAGGCCACATTACAGTATACACCACTACTTTAAGACCAGTAGTAACTAGGAGAACAAAGAAGGCCACATTACAGTATACACCACTACTTTAAGACCAGTAGTAACTAGGAGAACAAAGAAGGGAACAGTGCGCACCACTACGTTATACAGTATAAACTACTTTATTTATTAATGTACACAAGAGAGACGTTTACCCTTGCCAAAAAAAACAGAGAACCTGCTCAATTTCTTGATTAATATCTATCTTTGTGACTGACACATTGACAAACATAGTCAATACAAATTAAGCCCCAAGAAAATGTTAAAATTTCTATTTCCTTTGATTGTTTAGAAAAGTGAATTGAATCATGAAAATTTAAGTAAAGGATAAATATTTTTTCAATTTACTTATACACATTTTGTTATGCCTATCCTTTTGTACACATTATCCTTTTGTACACATTTTGTTATGCCTATCCTTTTGTACACATTTTGTTGTGCCTATCGATCTATCCTTTAAGAGATTCTTGAGTAAAGAGCAACTCAGTAGAGGGCATTTCAATTACAGTTGTAAATTCAAAAGTGACCATATCTGAACGATTATACTGCATATCTGAACAGCCAAATTTTGTCAGTCTGATAAAAAATCATTATATGTCAACAGCAAGACATCGTATGCAAGTGAGACTTGGACCTTCACCGAAACAAATGAGAACCTGCTCCTCAATACATGGGAGAGGAAATGCTTGGAAAATATGTGGTCCAGTGTTAAACAATGATCGCTGGAGAATTTGCACAAACCAAGAGATATATCAATTGTTCTAAGACCCATCCATAGTCGATGCAATTAAAAGTGTCAGGTTGCATTGGACTGGGCACTCTGAGAGGATTGTTGAGCAGCAAAAGTGATCTACAGACAGTAACCAAGGAGCAGACTGCTCATGGGTTGACCAAGACTGAGATGGATTGCAATGTAGAGAAAGGCTTACATCAGCGGGGGTCCATGCATGGAGGTGGAAATCCATGGATTGATCCGAATGGAAGGATGGGGTGGAGCAACCCAGGACTCTACATGGGCTGTAGCGCCAATTATGATGATGATGATGTTTTCATCAAAACTAGCCTATAGACTTCTTAATTACCCTATTACCCTTTAGCCCTGTTACCATCATATCCACATCTTAACTTAAAGTTTCAAATTTGTATATATTATTCTAAATTTTTAAAAGTACCTCGAACTCATCATCTAGCTACATAATTACCCTTCTATAAAACTTAAATCCATAAAAAAACCTACCTCTTAGGTAAAAGCTATCTCGTTCACATTCTTTCATTATCTTTCTTTCTTCCTCTGTCAACACCTAGAAGCAGAGTAATGAACACAAACATTGTTAGAAACAGATTAGTTTTTTTGTGTTATATTCTGAAAATAGTTATTTTCTTTATTAACAAACTTTTTTTTTTAAATTACTCCAAAAATATCACTTGACACTATTAAATTATTGTAGCTTCATTACGTTTAGGATATGACTTGGATCAATGTAACAAATCACTATAAAGTAAACACATTTTTTTCTTTTATAACTATATTCCTGTCCATATCACATGATACATGCTCTCTCTCTGCTCAAGTAGTTTTGGGAATGCATTGATTGTCAGGTCCTAACTCATGTATCACCCTGCCTGCTGGTATGAGCTTCTTTTTACAAGATACCCACTTGCCTGCCTTGTTTTCAACCTTTACAAGACAACAAGCCCCTCATCTCTAGCCTTGCGTCTAGCCAGCTGATGCTCCACACAAAAAATCACCTCACCCTGGCTTCGTAGTTTCATTAGACACTCCAGTCAGATGACAACTTTATCACTCTATTTGTCACCCAAAGACAGACAGATGCCAAACAAAAGTAAAATATGTTCTATTCAATGAAAATTTCATGTGGCTGTTGATGGTGATTGTTCATTATATCCCCTGTTGGAAAACACCAATTTAAGTCACATCTAAATCTTAATACAACCAAGTTAAAAGTAAAATTGACACAATGCAGTGTGCCACAGTGCTCAGTTTTAGGACCTATTCTGTTCTCCATGTACACTAGCCAGCTCTGCAAAATTATTTAAATTCATGGTGTTTCCCGCAAAATATTTGCAGATGACACAAAACTATACAAGTGTTTCTGCCCTGATCCCTTGGAGTGTGTTGCTGCTGTTCAGGCTGTCGTGGGTTGCTGTCTTGCTGTGAAAGAATGGATGTCATCAAACAGAATAAAATTATATGACGGTAAGACTGAGGCAATTATTTGTGGTTCAGACGCCAATTTTCGAAAAGTTGCCATTGCATCAATAAAAGTTGGTGAATCAGAGATCCCGTTGTCCTCCACTGTCAGAGACCTTGGCTTATATATTGACAGTAAACTTAGAATGATTTCCCACATCCGTTCTGTGGTCAGGGCATGCTTCTGTCATCTGCGCGCCCTGGGTCAGCTGCGTCCTCAACTCAATAAGAGAACAGCCAGTGCTGTAGGGGTAACTCTAATCCAGTCAAGATTAGATTACTGTAACAGTTGTTTGTGGGGTTTATCTCAGAACCAAATTCAGAGACTCCAGAAGGCACACAATATTGCAGCACGCATTGTATTGTGGATAAAGAAATCTGACAACATCACCCCAGTTCTACGAGATCTGCATTAGGTTCCTGTGAGTGCATTAACTACAAAATTCTGTCCCTGGCTTACAGCTGCATAGAAGGCTCTGCACCTGAATATCTTAAAGAACTGATTTATAAACATGTAAGTTTGTAATCTTGTTTGACAAATAAACATGTACCGGTATTGTTAGAATCAACTTCAGCTGTTAATAGAAAATAAAATAAGTTCTGGTCATTTGCTTGAGGTAAGTACAAGTTTTTATTATTATTATTCTTTAGTAATGTCTTGGATTAATAATTCTTGGATTACTGTGCCTGAAAGTGTGTTTTTTCTTTGAGAAACTGAGGATTATATAATAATTCTCTTGTGGATATTGTGATATGTGATTAAATAAAGGATATTTCAATACCAAAGGTAAGTGAATATTTTTTAAATTTTTACTTAGTTTGAGCCTTAAGAATCACAATTTTAATTAAAATATAATAAATAATTACATAACATAGCCTAAAATATTATTGCATATAATTTATTATAATAGGTCCTACGAATAAGTTGGTTTTGGTCTAGGCCTAAACTGTAATATAGTATACTTTGTTTTATACTATGTCTATACTAGGCCTAAATCATTAAATCCTTTATAATAGTATAATTACTATTATAATACTTTTACTAAGCTTAACTCTCAAAAGACGGGAGATTGAAAAATCGGTCATATATGGCGGGTGAAAAAAAGGACCCCAAAAATATATATAAAAATAATATTAAAAGGCGAAAATAAAGATTTACTACTTTGGAATGTTAAATTTCTATTTGGCAAGAAAGAAAAATCGTTTATTTTACTAGTTTTTGAAGAAATCTGGTAGCAACTTGTCCATTCATAAATTTTCCTTTTCGCCATTTACTCATATTTTGCCACAATTCCGGTTCACTGTTACTACACTCTAAAACATTGCTATGGAATCTGATTCTGATTATAAGCTTGAAATGGACAACTATTCTTACTTAGAGGAATATTTTTGATGAAGATAGCACTTCAGATGTGTCTGATACCGAGAATTGTGTAAATTATCATCATAATAATAGCATCACTTCTATTGCTGCCCACAGATACTACTTACCAGCTAAGTGCTATTTCTTAACGTTTTTTCTGTTGTTTTGTTCGCTGACGAAGGCTTTCTGCCGACACGTTCGCTGTTTTGTTGCGTTTAATTTTTCAGGTTTAACCATACTCTGTTTTACTCATTTTATTTAATAATAGCATCCAAGGTTTGTTTACTTTTTTCATTCATACTCAACTCACGCATACTGTGATACTTCTTAGCACTATTATTAGCCCTAACAATAGTTTTATTCAAGTTACAGTAGTATAAAATTCTTAAATAGATTAAATTATTTATTTGTTTGAAACTAATTTGTAGTTATACAATTATTTTAATATTATTACGTTTCAGTTAGCAAAATGTAAACAATGGTTCTCAAGGCCAAGGCTATTATTACACTTACACTGTAACAATCAGCTGTGTTCCCTTTTCAATGAAAACTTGAAGTAATAGTAATTTAGGCAGATTGTTTATTATTTTGAATTCTTTTTATTTATATTGTAATTTTTTTTTTTAGCTAATTTTTTTTTAAATATTTTGACAGCATCTATGAAGGGCAGATGTCAAACATAGTCAATACAATGGGTTATGATGACAAAAGACTGTGGGACTCTTTGCTGCATTTAGACCAGAGGTGAAAAGCACTATTGCTTCCTGATGTTATAACAAGAGAGGATATAAGGAGATTTTAAAAGCAAATTGACATTTTCAACCTCTACTTTACTACAGATTTGGTTGGTTATTAGTAAGCCTTGTGCGCAGGACAATGGACCGCAGAACTTTTGTGTTTTCAAAAATTGGTACCATTATAACATCATTGAAGGGGAGTTTTATCTACTAAGTGGATTTATTATGAATGCAGGACTTATCAAGCTCTTAATTTTACAAGAAATGTCCAGGAAATCCTTTTATGATGGACAATGAGCAAGGCCATTAGTACTAAGGACATATTCAAGGCTATATTGAGTTTCCTAAAAGTTTCTGATACTGAAAATAAAGGAAACATGCTGTGTACATTTGGGAGACACTTCTGTATCTCAATGCAAAATACAATCAACTGTATCAGCATCAAGAAAATGTAGCAATTAATGAACAATTTAGGGAACAATTGACATATTTCATGATAAACCTGATACTGTAAAGCCCGAAATCTTTACATCGTGCGCCGCAACATGACAATAACAAAAAATGTAATTGTGGGTTACCAAAACAGGGTAAAATGGGCAGAGCATATGTCACAGGCTTTGTTTTTGATACATTTTTATGTTTTAATAAATAAAGAAATTGTTTTCAAGAATTTTTATGCATGGTCTTGGCGAAGGATTACATCATTTGATTGGTATCTCGGGGATGCATAAAAAATGTTTATTTATTAAAATGTGCCTTTTTTTCTTAACTTTTCTTCTCAAATAATACTTACTAATAACCCTCTAAAGAATAATATGATGCAGTATATGTTTTCCTTTGAAAAAAAAAATTATTATTATTTTTTGAAAATAATTTTGACTTTTTGAGCAATATTTCCTTGAATGATCTGTTGCCTACAAATAGTCATAACTTTTTTATTTATGAGTCTATTCTTTTGAAATTTGAATATGTTTTATAGTATTGAACACATTCTAATAAATTATCAATTTTATTGATTTAATTGGAAACACTTTTTTTTTTCCTTCTTTGTAAAACTGTGATATTATGTTTTTGTCGACTTAAAAAAAAATTTTTTTTGCTTAAAAATAATAAAACATCAAATTTAGCAAGGATATTTTGAACAAACACCAAGTATAAATTAAAGACCATCCAATTACCTTTAAAATGATATATAATACTTGGAGGTAGCTACAAAATTACAGTCATGAGACACTTTGAACAATAAGATATATTCAAGGTCATTAAAAAATGGAAAAATCTACAGTCTTTTGAGAGTTAAGTAGTTAAAGACAAGTGCTTATCAATCCCATGTCAGCCATGTCCATGGCAACCAACCCAAAAATTAAAACAACTGATATTTCATAAGCCAATAATAATTTTTATGTTACAAAACATTTTTTATTTATATAAAATGATTTATTATTAGTTTTATTTCCAATTTATATTCTGGATGGCCAATTTAATGAATTATTAACTACTCCATGGCTGCTTAGGATAAATGGCAATAAGCAGACAAGCACGGTGGCCATGATGACAAATTTTATACGGTAGCATACAAATTAACACTGGGACCTTTGTTTTTGAAGCCTACCAATTCAATAGTCTACACTCATGAATTTTTTAAATGTTGTAAATGAACCTATAAAATTAAGGACCGGGGTGTTTTTATTATGGAACGCATTTTTTAAAAAAAAATTATTGATGAATGAAGTTAACTTTTTTTTTAACTTCAACTTTCAAAGCTTAGAATCTAAACGTTGAAAAAAAAAATCAAATTAACTCTCAATAGGCAAACAAGATGTTGGCTGTAAGTAACTGGCGTATGCAGAATATATTATTATTCTAAAAATTGACTATTAAAGGCAAACCAACGATATCATCACTAAATTAAAAAGTGGAGGTCATCATTTGACAATGAAATTACGATACCCGTTTTTCTGGTATTTCTGGGTGATACCAAAGTGCCTAACAGGAGGGTTAGGGGGATGGGTTTATCATAGTTTATGGTGCTGGCCAAGGGAACGGTAGCCAAAAAAAATTTTAAAACCACTGACCACTGCACTACACTTGATCTTGAAACTTACACTTAGGCCTACGCCTACACCTAAGTTAGAGTCTAACCTGAGGCTACAAGAATAGTCTAGTCCAGTAAGTACAAGTCAAGTGCAGGAACAACTACTTCTAAGTAAACTAAATTCTAAGCCACAAGTACAGTACAAGTGAGTGAACTCAGATCACTATATAATAATATTATTAATAATTAACTAAAACTAAAACAACTAGATTTTGTAAACTTAGTTAAGTTTAGTAGAAGTGCATACAGGAATTTGAATATGATTTGGGTTATTCTCCTGATTTGCAGTAGTTGGGCTTGGGTCTTGGAACTCGCTCCCGGACCATGGTTTAGAAGGTCCCGATGATTCTGAGAATTCCACAGGACTAGGACGTGAAGCCATTTCAGTAATTTCGCATGTAACAGATTTTGTTTATGTAAATATAAAGTTCTTGATTTTAACTAGCTCTTTGCCGCTTACAATTATATAAATTTAATCATTGGGATCGCTTAGAAATCAGACAAAAATTAGCACTGAAAACAGTGCTACCAGCCCTTGGGAAATATTTCCAGATCTTGAGTATTCTTTACTAAGACTAAGGTTGTCAAAAGTGTTATAAACAGGGATTTGAGCTCAAAGTTCTGGTGCTGGGTCTTTTTGCCCGAAGCTAGAGTGGAGCTGGTAACATTTCTTACTGCCCCGAGCTCCAAAAATTAAAATATAACATTTTTTTTTAAATTTTCAAATATAGACTAATTTGAACTTTTTAATTAAAAAAACAAATTATCATTAGTCTACAATCTATGTTGTCCAACACTTTTACAGCTATTTTGCGCCACTCTTCTACCAGCTAACTTTGTTGCCCCACTCTTTCAAAAATATGCAGCCCAATCTACTGCAATGTGGCCCACTATTCTACCTGCTATCTTGCTATGTTGCCCCACTCTTCTACCAGCTATGTTGCCCCACTATTCTACCAACTATGTTGCCCCACTTTTCTACCAACTATGTTGCCCCACTATTCTACCAGATATGTTGCCGCACTCTTCTACCAGCTATGTTGCCCCACTCTTCTACCAACTATGTTGCCCCACTATTCTACCAGCTATGTATCACGATCACGACTATATTACAGCTATGGCTCACCAATATTTTACAGCTATGTTGCCCCCACCCTACTACCAACTATGTTGTCCCACTCCTGTACAGCTATGTTGATGGTACATGAATTTATATTGCCTAGTTGATATGATGAGCTCGTGACAATAATAAAAAAAACATACCCCAAGGCTCGAAGCACGGTACAAAGTCATCCATATTAAAAAAGAAATGAAAAAATATATATTTACCACATTGAAATACAAAACGCAACATTACAAAAACTACATACGAGAATATCCATTCTAAGTCTTTCATCCCTTGCAACCATACCCCCCCCTCCTTAACCACCCTCCACCACCCTCCACCCTGTTTAATTTTGCCGAAGCTCGGAGCTAATAAAAAAAATTCAAAGCGGAGCTGGACCAAAAAAAAACAACTCCCCGGATACACGTTGACCCATGGAGCCGGATACCCGACGGAGCAGGGAGCAGGCATTTTGAAGGAAATATAGGGAGTCGTGTTTCGTGACAAAACATGCATTCAAGTAATGCACTTTTTATGATTCCTAAAATTAGTGCTTACCCCCCCCCCCCCGTTTTTTTGTTGTTGTGGCCATCGCACCTGAACTACATAACTATTTGAATGCCCCCACCACCTTCCTTTGACACCACAGATTTATTATCAGACCACATATGTTCGTAAAACAAAAGAAGATCGTATGCACCAAATTATGCACTTGCGGTACTTTTAAGAATCTCAATAATGGAGTTAGTTAGGACCGTCCAGCATTGGGGGCACTAGGCAAATTAATGCACTGAGGCCTTTATTCCTCTCTAACCTATTCAAGTAGCCTACTGTTAGGAAAGTATTTGGGGCCCAGATGGACCATGCTTATTCTTCTAGTATTCTGTCAATTTCATCAGGCGTTCGAAAAAAAGGTGGGGTGGGGGGAGCAGTGCAACAATCATCGTCAAAATTTGGCATATCGTCGCCCAGGGCGAGCTCTGCCTCCATCGCCACCGCTATACATAAACATATATTCAATGTGGTTGGGGTATCTCCTGAGGGTACGCTTTTAGCCCCCAGCTTAATTTCGCCCCTGGAATCCACACATTTGAACTATATTTTATAATAAATATACCAAACTAAAGGAAAATCATATTTTTGTAAGTGAAAGAAAAAAAATTAATTACTTACATCCAGTTATTTATATTTTTATAAGATAAACAAATGCCGGTACGGTACTGTCACTTTGATCGGAGAAGGTGCTGAAATCGACGGCTCCGAAAGCTACCAAACGAAGGGTGAAACGGTGTTGTTGTTGTTTTGTTTTTTGTTGTTGTTGTTTTGTTTGTTTGTTTGTTTTTTTTTTTGTTTTTTTTTTTTTTTTGGGGGGGGGGGACCTTACCCAGAAAATGTTGGATAAATTCGAAATGCAAAGGGTGGGGGCATTGAGGTATCTGAATTTATTTTTTGCACCATTCCACACTTAATGAGCGCGCAACAGAAAAGGTGTCAGTTGAAACTTAGGTTGCCTACAGCAAATTGAATAGCCTCAAGACCTTTCAATTTTCATTAATAATATGAGCAACCAGATGTCACAAGAAGCGTGAGGCCACTTAGAAGCGTGGGGCCCTGGGCAACTAATGTTATAATTGCAAAGGCAAAGAGTTACACGAATAAGTATTATTTCTAATTAAAGTTTTTGTTCTATTTTGCGGCCTGATGTTTTCGCCTATGACCTACGTCCTTTCTGCACGCCGAAATTATTTAATATATTTGATTGTTATATTTTATCATTTGGGGATATCTGGAGAAATGTAAAACTAAACCTGGGGATTTGCTTTGAAAGAACTAACTGGCAGCACTAGATGGACTCACGGCTACCATACCTTGGGACATTTCCCAAGATCTTGGGAATTTATGACCCCCCTTGGGATCTGGGGAATAATTTTGAAAATCAGGCAAAACCTTGGGAAATCTTAACGGGGGGGAATTTTATTATATTTTTCGAAAAAACGCAACAATATCTGATAAAAAATAAAGTGAAAATAATGCAAAATAATTTTTTAAAGTAACAAGGCAAAAAACTAATTGTTTTAATTTTTCTTTTCTGGTTTTAATTTTTAAATCCACTCATAAAATAAATAAAAACTCTTCTGATATTAAAGTTAATATTGTGAGTTATTAAAAAGTTAATAATTTTTTAAAAAATTCAATTTTCTCTTTTTTTTAAAAAAAATTGAAGATTTAGAAATTACATCCAGGTTTTGAATGTTTATTAAATGGGGGGGGGGGAGGGGGGTTAGGCTCGGAAACTTTATCATTATGCTCTTAGACATTAGCAACCATACGAAAAACAGCACAAGCCAAAGAGTGAACGATAGTGTTCAATCAAGAATCCATGCCATAGTAAAATTTGATTATTTCAATTACCATACGAAAAACAGCACAAGCCAAAGAGTGAACGATAGTGTTCAATCAAGAATCCATGCCATAGTAAAATTTGATTATTTCAATACTTCTACAATGTGTTCAAAATATAATGCATCTGTAAAAAAATCCAGCCTAATTTTCATCAATTATAAAAAAAATATTTGTGGATTGAAACACACGTAACTAAGATATTAAAAGTATAGGCCTGCGTCGTAGGATTATAAATGAACAATTCCTTTAAAATTATTTATTTATTTTTTTCTGTTTGAAAAAATCGTTATAATGTAAATTTACAAGAAAAAATAAAAATACTTATTGTTTTCATCATAATATCAATCCATTTTAACTACAATTATTATAAATAAATTTTGCTTAATTGCTTTGCAAACCCCACTTCTAATCAACAGATTTACAATAATAAAAATCATTTTTTGATGAAGAACCTTTTGCCTTTGTAAAAGGAATTCTGTGTTGATTAGCCTTGTAAGCTTTTTTTCCAAGTGACTTCTATTACACATGTATTGTAGATTATATTTTTACCAGAGAATTCGAAGGTAATATTTAGTAGCCTAACTCCAGTGGTTATTGATATTTTGGATTATTAATAATTTTTACAAATTGTTTTGTTTTTTTATGTGATAAACATTTTTTAAATGTCTTTTTCAATAAATTTCAGTCAATTAATGTATCATGTTTTTTTAAGGGGCATTGATTCAATCTATTATTACATTAATTACATAGAAAACCCCCCTTTTAAAAAATAACTCTTATATATTTTATGATCTTGGGAAATCTTGGGAAATTTGTTCACCAAATCTTGGGAAATTTTAAAGAAATGAGTGACAGCAGGATGGACTGTCTGTTCCGGAATTCCGGATACTAGATTAATATGTTAACCAGCAGACGCGCTTCAATTATTCAAATCTCTTCATTTCGTTTATTTACTTAATTTTTAAAATTAGTTATTCATTATTTTTTAAAAGAGAATTTTATCCCTTAAGTAACGATCCTCATTATTATGACCTACTTAACAGCTAGATTAAACATGCTCAACTCTGCACTGTTATATTTAGACAGACATGACGGACTAAATAAAATCAAAGTTAAAGCTAAAGAGCAACTAAGTACCAAAGTAAATAGAGATGAATATAAATAAAAGTTAAAAATTATGAATGAATGTCTCCCTAGTAAGGACACTAGTCATATGTCTCCAAATTCATTACATGTTACTTCTTGAAACTTGGTAGTGAATATTACTTACTAGTGATTATTAAATATAATTATAGGATGGGCAAAGCAACAGTCAAGAAGCTGAAGTGCTTACACTTAGTCTTAGTCTTAGGCCTACATTTAAAATTTAAAAAACTACAAATAAGATTAATAAGAACTGTTGAAAAAATTATTTATTCGGAAATTTAAAATAAGAAATGTTATAAATAATTAATTCAGTAGAACCTGATACTGATACCATATATTATTATAAAATATATTCCAATTAACAATAAAATTTATATGTAATGTCATTGTCATGGTTATTTTTAAGAACAATAACAATGTCAATTAATTAAATTATAAATGTATAGCGCACTGGGTGTGTTGATCATGTAAGGTGTAATTAATAAATACCCCACTTGTTTTTCTCAGTTCTCTTTCTTAATAAAAAAAATCAATATTTGTTTAAGCCTATTTGATAATTAATTTCAACTAAAAATAAATCTTAAAAATTAATTTATTAACAGTACTAACAGTTTTTGATTTTACAGGGATGTTTTGTATACATATTCATCATTGATATTGACCTAGGATTATTATTTGAGCAAGATGGTGAGAATTTATGAGTACTTAAAACTTATTATTCTGCCTCAACAATATCAATAAAAATAGCTTTATATCATGCAGTATCCTATCTGCCTATCTAAATTCTAAATTGCTACTATTTCATTTCTAAAATAACCAATTTACTGATCTCAAAACAT